CACAGTACACAGTACACAGTACACAGTACACAGTACACAGTACACAGGCTGTAGCCAGCCCAGCTCAGAGTCAGTCACCAACACTGAGGAGATTCTAAATCCCCTGTTTATACTGGGCTTCCTGATTGGCCCAGGTTAACAACCCCAATCAAGAACCTCACAGTCAACAAGATCCACCTGATTCCAATCACCACAGAGACCTTAGCAGAATTTCCTTGCAGAAATGCAGAGGTCCATGTTTTCATTTTTGAAAAAAGGCAGGGATGGCCATCTGTGTAAGATTGCCACTCCCTGGAAAATCTGGCCCTTAGAATCTCTGAACACTAGGAAATTGCACAGCAATGTAAAATAAGCTATATGTATAAAACAGCTGTGGACTAAAGACAGCTATGTGCAGAATCTCTGTGGTGGCCCTCCCCATATTTCCTTGTATGGCCTCCTTCAAGTCCCTAAACGAGGCTGGCAGTGAATGTATCCTTTGGCTGATGAAAATACATTGGAAACTTGGTAATTAAACCTTCACATCATGACTGACTGAAATCAGTAGAGATGATGGCCGTGTAGTGTTTTCGCTGGACTGTTAATCCCAAGGCGCAGGTAATGTTCTGGGGACCTGGGTTCGAATTCTGTCATTACAGATGGTGGAATCTGAATTCAATAAATATCTGGAATTAAGAGTCTAACAATGATCATCAATGTACTGTCGACTGTCAGGAAAACCCACTTCATTCACTAATGTCCTTTAAGGAAGGAAACTGCCATCCTTACCTGGTCTGGCCTACATGTGACTCCTAACCCTCAGCAATGTGGTTGACTCTTAACCGCCCTCTGGGCAATAAATGTTGGCCTTGCCAGTAACACCCATGTCACATGAATGAATTTTTTAAAAAAAAATCAGTACAGTAAAAGGTCTTTTCCGATGTAATTTGCAAACATTTTTAAGCATACCTTTTTACATTAAGTCCTAAGTGCAATATAACATGATGATAAACTTTGTTCATTTTTGACAGATCAGCAGGTCCCCTCTTTATATGTTAGCATTTCTATAAAAACTCTCAAAGCTGATGAACAGCAATTCTATACTGGACTCTACAACTCCTACCTCAGTGAGTAAGTGATAGGTTAGATTCCTGGTTGCCTGCGCTGTAATGTTAAATCCTTCCAAAATGTTGAGGGCTGCAATAAGTGCAGGTCCTGCATGTGGGGCTGGAGCAGACAGCACAAAGTGACCTGTAAAACAGCAGAACGTAAAATGTAGTTTACAGTTACAAAACAGAAGTGCTGCATTTATGTAGCACCATTCATCACCACCAGATGTATCAAAGTGCTTCAAAACCAATGAACTACTTTTAAAGTGTAGCTATTGTCGTAATGTAAAATATAATTATAATGCAATAATCAGAATCCACCTGCCAGACAACAGTGTTTTCTCATACAAAAATAAAAAAAACTAGAGAGGGGGAGATGATGGCCTAGTGGTATTGTTGCTAGACTATTAACCCAGAGACAGGTAATGTTCCAGGAACATGGATTCAAATGCTGCCATGGCAGATGGTAGAATTTGACTTTAATAAAAATCTGGAATTAAAAGTCTAATGATGACCATGAAATCATTGTTGATTGTCAGGAAAAACCCATCTGGCTCACTAATGTCCTTTAGGGAAGAAAGCTTGACATCCTTACCTGGTCTGGCCTACATGTGACTCTAGACCCAGAGCAATGTGGTTGACTCCTAACTGCCCTCTGGGCAATTAGGGAGGGGCAATAAATGCAGGTCCAGATAATGATGCCCACATTCCCTGAATGAATGACAAAAGTGATCTTCCTTTCACATTGGTATTTCTATCACATAAAGATAGATATGTGCAGAATCTTCCTACATTCTCTTGTGTGGCCTCCTTCAAGTCCCCAAGCGAGGGTGGCAGTGAACGTATCTGATGAAAATACATCGGAAACTTGGTAATTAAACCTTCACATCATGACTGACTGAATGAAATCAGTAGAGGTGATGGCCTAGTGATGTTTTCGCTAGACTGTTAATCCTGAGACGCAGATAATGTCCTGGGGACCCGGGCTCTAATTCTGTCATTACAGATGGCGGAATCTGAGCAAGCCAAAGAGCAAGAAATAATGGGCACAAGGTGGTGTTTTCTCCCCAACAATCTCAGAGATATTGGTGCCAACAGTTAATCCAAGCTAACACTATAGTGCCTTGGGAAATCTGATCCCACACTTCAAATACAGAGACAAGATATTTCTGAACTCTAGGTTCAGATTTAATTTACCCCTCCCAACCTATTCACAGAGATTTATTCAAACCTTGGTATGATCCTTCAACAGGCTTCTCAACAATCACGCTGTAATTAGCAAAATCCTCCACAGACAGCACTCCACCTCTACTCTGAACCTGGAGGTAAAGTAAAGTAAATTGAGTCAGTTTTAAGTGCTCCACCATATCCAAATTGGTGTCATGAGCCCTGAAGACAAAAATTCATAACTATCATAAAAAAAGCTTTCATCCAAATTCATTGGGTAATAGGGAAGACAAAGGAATGTTGGCCTTTATTTCAAAGGGAATGGAGTTTAAAAGTAAGGAACACTGAAAGAACTGTGGATGCTGTAAATCAGAAACAAAAACAGAAATTGCTGAAAAATCTCAGCTGGTCTGAGCAGGTCTGCTACCAGACTTGCTGAGCTTTTCCAGCAATTTCTGTTTTTGTTAAAAGTAAGGAAGTTTTACTGAAACTGTACAAGGCACTCGACAAACCACAGCTGGAATACAGTGAAGAGTTTGGGGCCCTTTACCTAAGGAAAGATATACTGGTATTGAAAGCAGTCCACACAAGGTTCATTAGGCTGATCCCAGCTATGGACAGATTGTCTTATGAGGAGAGGTTGAGTAGGTCATAGAGTCATAGAGATGTACAGCACAGAAACAGACATTTTGGTTCAACTCATCCATGCCGACCAGATAACACAAATTAATCTTGTCCCATTTGCCAGCATTTGGCCCATATCCCTCTAAACCCTTCCTATTCATATACCCATCTAGATGTCTTTTAAATGTTGTAATTGTTGCAGCCTCTACCACTTCCTCTGGCAGCTCATTCCATACACTCACCACCCTCTGCGTGAAAAAGTTGTCCCTTAGGTCCCTTTCAATTCTTACCCCTCTCACCTTAAACCTATGCCCTCTAGTTTTGGACTTCTCTACCTTGGGGAAAAGACCTTGGCTATTCACCCTATCCTCATGCTTTATGTAAACTTCCATAAGGTCGCCTTGGACCTGTGCTTGTTGGAATAAAGAAGAATGACAGGTGATCTTATGGAAACATACATAGTTCTTTGGGGACTTGATAGGGTAGATGCGGATTCTCATTGTTCCTTTCTAGGACCAGAGCGCATAATCTCAGCATAAAGGATTGCACATTTAAGACAGAGATGGGGAGGAATTTCTTCCATCTGAGGGTAGTGAATCTGTAGAATTCTTTACCACAGAGGGATGCTGAGGCAGGGCCAGTATTCAAGGATGAAATAGACAGATTTTTGATCAGTAAGGGAATCAAGGATTATGGCGAAAAGGCAGGAAAGAGGAGTCATAGAGTCATACAGCACGGAAACAGATCCTTCGATCCAATCGGTCCATGCCGAACATAAGCCCAAACTAAACTAGTTCCACCTGCATATTCCTGGCCCATATCCGTCCAAACCTTTCCTAATCATATATCCATCCAAATGTTTTTTAGAAGTGGTAATTGTACTCGCACCCACCATTTCATCAGGAAGTTCATTCCATATGCAAACCACCCTCTGTGTAAAAAATTTGCCTCTTATGTCTTTTTTACATCTCTCTCCTCTCATCTTAAAAAGGTGCCCAATAAAAACCGAAAGAACTGTGGGTGCTGTAAATCAGGAACAAGAACAAAGTTGCTGGGAAAGCTCAGCAGGTCTGGCAGCATCTGTGAAGGAGAAAACAGAGTTAACATTTTGGGTCCGGTGACCCTTCCTCTGTTCTGAACAGAGGAAGGGTCACCGGACACAAAACGTTAACTCTGTTTCTTCTTTCACAGATGCTGCCAGACTTGCTGAGCTTTTCCAGCAACTTTGTTTTTATTAAAAATGTGCCCCCTAGTCTTGAAATTCCCAATCTTCAGAAAAATACAAGTACCATCAAATCTATCTATACCTCTCATTATTTTATAAACTTCTCCAAGGTCACCTCTTAACCTCCTACGCGCCAGTGAAAAAAAGTCCCAGCCTATCCAGCATTTCCTTATTACTCAAACATTCTATACCCAGCAACATTCTGGTAACTCTTTTCTAAACCCTCTCCAGCTTAATAATAACCTTCCAGGGAGACCAGAACTGGGCACAGTATTCCAGAAGAGGCCTCACCATTGTCCTGTACAACCTCAACATAACATCTGAACTCCTATACTCAAAAGGACTGAGCAATGAAGGGAAGTGTGCCAAATGCCTTTTTAACCATCCTGTCTACATGTGACACAAACTTTAAAGAACTATATACCTGCACCCCTCGGTTCCTCTGTTCTACAACACTACCCAAGGCCCTACCATTAATTGTGTCAGCCCTATCCTTGTTTGTTGTACCAAAATGCAAATCTGCTGTTTTTCAGCCCATTGATCGATTCGATCAAGATCCCTTTATAATTTTAGAAAACCTTCTTCACTGTCTACAATGCCACTGACTTTGGTGTCATTATCAGATCAGACACGATCTCATTGAATGCAGAGCAGACTCAACGGGCTGAATGGCCTACTTCTGCTCCCATGTCTTATGGTTTTAAGTACTTTACTGAAAAGTGTACTGCCGGCTGTAGAAGTAACACTTTGAAATCAAACGGTTGCAGTATTTATCCAATAGCTAAACCCAATAGTAACTGATCAATAGTGAATCATTGAGTGTATTATGTTGTTGGTTCTACCCATTGATTCAGTCCATAGGAATATATTCCATAGAAATCCTACATCAGTAATATCTCATCCTCACCAATCTGATTGCACAATGTCCAGCATCATTTGCAGGTCCTCAGATACTGAAGTCCAAACACAGCAATATCTGGACATTATCCAGATTTGGGCTGACAAGTGGCAAGTACATTTGCATACAAACAAGTGCCTGGTAATGACTGTCTCAAATAAGAAAGAATTTAATCATTGTCGCTTGACATTCAACGCATTATGATCGCCGGATTCCGAACTCCCAATATCCTGGGGGTTACCATTGATCAGAAACTGAACTAGACAAGCCATATAAACACAGTGGCTCCAACAGCAGGTCAGGGGGAGGGAATCCTGCAATGAGTAACTCACCTCCTAACTCCCTAAAGTCTGTCTAGTATCATAAGGCACAAGTCAGAAGTTTGATGGAATAATCCTTGTTTGCCTGGTTGAGTGCATCTTCAACAACATAAGAAGTTTGACACCACAAGGTCAAAGGAGCCCACTCAATTGGCACCACATCCACAAACATCCACTCCCTCCACCACAGATGCACAGTAGCAGCAGTCTGTACTGTCTACAAGGTGCACTGCAGAAAGTCACCAAGCTTCCTTAGATAGCACCTTCAAAACCAATGACCACTTCCATCTGGAAGGACAAGGGCAGCAGATACATGGGAACACGACCACCTGCAAGTTCCCCTCCAAGCCACTCACCATCACAACCTGGAAATATATCGATATTACTTCAGTGTCACTGGGTCATAAACATCAAATCCCCTCTGTAATGACATTGTGGGTCTACCTACACCAAACGGACGGTGGCTGTTTAGGAAGGCAGCTCATCACCACCTTCTCTAGGGTCTGTAGGAATGGGTAATAAGTGCTGGCCCATACTGCAATGCCCACAGACCAGAAACAAAAACCAAAAATAAATCTACTCTGACCGGCTGAGTAAGTACCTGTTACATACTATTTCACCAATATTAAACAAAATGAATTTTTAATTTCTACTGCAGCCAATCAAGAGATCCTCATGCTTAAAATTATTGTATTGACAAAATTAACTCTTTACCTCAGAAGCCATCTCCTCTGTTACATTTCCACTGTAAAATGCTGAAATGCCCCCGAAACCAACAGCGCTGAAAATTGCTGCCAAGTCCAAACGTTTCATGAAAGCTCCTGGATGTAACGGTTGCCCCTGTGGCAGGAAGGTTTCATGGAAAGTATCTGACATATTGGAGTCCTTAACTTGATTGATCGCTTTAGCTGGAATAGTTTCAGTCAAAAGAAAAATTTACACAATTAGATCAGACCACCAAAGCAACCTGATTCACTTTATAACATTCTCAGAGAAGAGAGATTTCATTAATTAGAGAGATGTGCATTGACATTTTAATACCTTACAATGAGATACCTGGGGATACACTAAAATCAAATTGTGGCATTTGCTGGATTGATTTAATAAACTAGAAAGGAGGGTCTGACTTGAAACATTGTAGACCATTTCTTTTGTACTTCACGCCTCAATCATGCTCTCTCTTTAGCTCGGTAACTCAGCCACTTTGTGGCTCTCTCAAAAGCAGATGACCAGAAAATATAAAACAATGTGATCTTTCTGATATGGGCTATTTCTTCCTGCCCATCCCCACCCCTCCATTCCAGATCATCTCTCAGTGACTCCCCTAGATTCAGATCTCACGATTACCCAGCTCAGAGTTTTCCAGCTAACGTGCTCAGTTATCTACGATTCTGTTTTGTCCTCATGCCCAGGTCTCCTAAATCAGCTAAACGCAAAATGCTGGAAATCTGAAACCAAAACAGAAAATTCTGGAGAAACTCAGCAGGTCTGGCAGCATCCGTGGAGAGAGAAAGAGAGTAAATGTTTCAAGTCTGCTGTGCAGCCTAAAGCAAAACATTGCTATAATTAGCTACTATTTCCCTCTTCCTCGTTATTAAGTCCTCAGCTGTATTCTTCAGCAGTGCCACACTCACATTAGGTACTTTCTTTCTGGAAATATTTCCACAGAAAAACCTTGCTGCTGTTTCTATGTTTCTTGGCAATTTACTTTCGTAATCAATTTTCTCCCTCTTTATTAGCCTTTTGGTCACTGGTTCCTGGTTCCTAAAATATTCCCAATCCTCTCGCCTACCACTCATAATTGAGACTTTGTACGCCTTGGTTTCAATTGGCTACTCTCCTTGACCACCTTGTTAACCACAGTTGATTCATCCTTCTCATCGAGTCCTTCCTTTCAATCAGAATAAATTTTGCTGAATGTTATGAAATCTCAGTTTAAACATCTGTGACTGCTCATCCACTGACCTTCCCCTTGGTCTAGTTTTCCAGCTTGCTTTGGACAGTATTTTCTTCATTCAAGTTGAGGACACTGGTTTGAGATCCAAGTTGCTCTGCCTCAAACTGAATTTTTACATTCTACCATATTGTGGTTGTTACCCCTCTGTAGGATCCTTAACCATAATTAATTCTAGAAATTCATCTTCCATGTTACCATTGACCATCAGATTTGACCAGTCAATATGCAGATTTGAAATCACTGGTGAGAAATTTTAGTGACTTTCTTACAAGCCTCCTTTGTCTGTCAGTGAGGCTCTTCAAAGGCCAAGGGATGACTCCCAGCTATGACTTCTTTCCCTTGCTAAACCTTAATTCCATCCAAACTGAATCCATATTACACTCTATTGCAACATTACTTCCCAATGCAGTGATTCCTTCCTTCATTCATTAACAAAACTACCCCACCTCCTCTTCCTTTTTGCCTATTCTTCCAGAATATCAAAATACCCTTGAATACCGAATTCCCAGTTTATGTCTCCCTGTAACCAGCCTCCGTGATAGCTACCAAGTCACGTCCATATATTTCTATTTGTGCCATTGACTCGTCTATCGTGTTACAAAAACTGAATGCATTCAGATAAAAAGAGCTTTAAATTTATACTTTTACTATTATCGCTTACTCTAATTCTAATTTCTGCTGCATTCTATGTGCATCTTCTACCCCTTCCTGTCACACTTTGATGATTGTCTGCCTCTCCACTATCTTGCACCTCTGCTCTTTTGTTTTTGTTTGATTTTTTAAATTCCCCTTCAATTCAACCTTCTCCTCCACTAATGAATATAAAGCCCTATCTACTCTATGCTCCTGGTTATATGATTCACAAGGACACCAGTCCTAGCATGGTTCAAATGAAGCTCATCACCATGGACCAGCTCTTTCTCTCCTCAGTGCTAGTACCAGTGCCCCATGAATTGAAACCCATTTCTCCCACGTCAATTTCTGATCCACACATTTACATCTAACCTTATTTATTCTTATTTACTTATTTTCACGTGGCCCAGGTAATAATCCTGAGATTAATACCTTTGTGGCTCTACTTTTTAAAATTTAGCTCCAAGCTGCTCAAAATTCCTCATGGGAATCTCTATCCTAGTCCTACCTATGTCACTGTACATACATGGACCATGACAACTGGATCTTCGTTCTTCTACACAAATCTGAGCCAAAGTTCCTCAACACATGCAATAGATGTGGTCACCATGGATTGCACTGGTGTTCACCAGCTCCTACATACTGCAGCTGCAACACATTGCCTGCCCAGCTATGCCTATTCTATTTCATTTATATACATCCAAATTAATTGAAGTTAATTTCTTAAATGTACTCTCCAGTTGCAATAATGTTTTCTGATTTAAACCATTCATTTAGTCAAAAGGGACACTGAAGAAATACACACAAATCTCCTATCTGTTTTTCTGCAGATGTTGCACTTTGGGTCTGATGGGTAGGAACAGGTTTTTATCTTCCACTGTCCTTCTCACACACCCCTGCTCTTCTCTTTAAGAAGCTGCTGTCCTGCTCTCTCTCACGCTTTTTATGAAACTACTGTCCCGCTCTCTCCTGACTTTTATGAGGTTGCTCTCTCTCTCTCTAACACACACACTCTCTTTGCGAATCTGCTGTCCCACTCTCTCTCACACTTGTGATGTGCAGACGGAGTGAGTGAGTGAGACAAATAAAAGTCCCCAAATACTAAAAAGCATACTTCAAGAAGTCTCCGGACGAGCCTTCGGGGGTGGGGGAATATTTTGAGCCGATTAGAAATATGCTCAAAACACTTAAGTACTTTTCAGGAGTTTCACAAAGTTTTACACATCGGGGATTCTCTGTCTTCTTCCACCTTTTAGAAATGTTGTCACCTTGTATCTATATCTGCTAGATCACCCGTAGTGTATAGAGGAGCTTAGATGGCCAAGATGCATTCAAACTACAGAAAGGGGTGTGCACAGCTCAGACCATCACGGAAGCCAACCTTCCATCCCATGGATTCTATTTACATGGCTCGCTGCCGCAGAAAGGCTGCCAACATCAAAGACCCATTGCACCCTGGTAATTATCTCCCATAACCTCTTCCGATACAGAAATCTGAACACACGCATAAGCAGGTTCAGGAACAGCTTCTTTCTGATCGTTGAATGGACTCTAGCCTCAAATAATGTAACCTGCAATGTAACCTATATACCTCTAAGTCTTTTTGGTCTGTACATCCTTTGCTTGCTGTGATCTGCCTGCACCGCTCATAAACAAAGATTTTCACTGTATTTTGGTACAAGTGACGATAAAATCAATCAGACTCTCTTTCTAATTTGTTTCTAGGAGAGCGGTCATAAGAACCTTGTCCATTGAATTTCATATCTTGTAAGAAGTGTTATTGCACCTACCAAGTTCTTGAGTCACATTAAAACCTTCTCGTGCAATTTTCGCTGCTGCAGCCATCAACTCAGACCAGGAGATTCTGGAGAAATGAGAAAATAACAGGAAATTCTCATCACTCTCTTGAACAGGGTATGCGCTTCCTCATGTTACAATATTTTAGTCAATATTTAATCGCCACAAATTGCAATGTGAACACTCCCTATTCAGCTTTCACATGTAAATGATCACAAGATAGCTGCACCCTGCGAAATGAGTTCTAAAGATTGCCTCCTAAATGCATCGCTGCCTTTTGTAAATGAAAAGCTTTTGCTAACTAATTATTTTATTCACCAGGGGATTAAGGAATGTAGAATTAGGTCGCAGAACAGCCTTAATCTAATAATTGAGCAGGCTCAAGGGGCGAAATGGACTCCTACTGCTCCTATGATTGTGAGTAATGACACGAGCAATTTGATAGCGCAAAAATAACTACAGATTTTGTTTAGGGGATAAATCTTATTATTCAAGCATTCACTTCACCATAATGTTTGGAAATTGCACTTGAGCAGGGTTCTCCAGTTAGAAAATTAAAATGGAGCTTCATTTGAAGTAGCTTAATCTGTGACTGCTCATTTAGCATTCTACTGTTTAGTACGCGCGCACTCACTTTTCTACTTTATTTCAATTCCAGAGTTCCAAATTTTACACAATTATGAGATTGGGTGAGGGGAGGGGGTAGGAAGACATTCTTTTTCATTCTGTTAATTAAATTTCAGTGAATTAAACCCAATCCCATTGGATTATTTCAGTTGGAGAAGTTGCAACCGTTGTTACAAAGCCATGTAAAAAGTATTCACAAGGAGATTATGGCCTTTCAATCTCCAAATTCCTTTGTCAGTTTTGCTTTTCAGCAATGCTACGGTTATAACAGCCAATGCTAAAAAATCTGCACTTTTTTTCTCCCTCTCTTTCCAAAGACTGGAGTAAATTATTCTGAGTGGTCAATTTTCAGTTCCTGTTGGGCACAAATCCACAGACAAAAGTGCCTGGGATTTGGCACACTGGTCATTTTGAACCAGAGAAGTAGCTGATGTGTGAAATAGGCAAATCACATCAGACAGTCCGGTGCATGCCTCCAAGAATGAATTCAAGACGAACGTACAGAATAATTGGAAATGTAGACCTGGGCAAGCTATTTGATCCTTCCTTTTTCTTGTGTTAACGCTTGTTAGGGTGACATAACAGAAAGCGTTTCTAAAAAGCAATCTTGATACAGCTTCTCTTTTTGATCTTTTAGCAAAGTATTTAGACAATATTTTCAGTTAGTTAGGGATGCACATTGAAGGATACAACTTATTCAAAGAAAAAGACTCAATAAGCCAGTGTTGACTTTCGCAAAATAGCCCTGAAAATTGCATCTATGTCATGTGTCATGCCTCTTTTATGTTTAAAAAATGTGTTATTATAGAGCCACACTAGTCATTTTGCAGTTAGAACCTGAAAATCAACTCCACAGTGTGTCTTTTCAGGCCATCACAAACTCTGGATTCTGTCAGATTCAGCCACTCAACCTGGGCTGTGACTTTTTAAACTAATGCCTGTTTTCCACTAGCACTTTAAGCTTTAGGCCAACAGTTGCAAGATACACTCTCAACTCGCCAAAGGAAAAGCAGCTCCTTCAATATAATTATTTTCGTAGAAAAGAATAACAGATTTCCACAGGATTGCTACCACAAGGTGCCAAGGTTCAATATTTCAATTGTAATTAAGAAAAATCAAGCATTTTGATCCAATTCAAAAACAAATTGATTTGATCATGGAGCAGAAACTTGTATAACAATGTTCTCGGTTTACCTGCCATAGAGTTGATGGGCCTGATGCAATCCTTGCATCATTCCTGGGACAGCTACCAAGAGACCAGGCTGCATAGAGAAGGAAAGAAGACATCATCTATATATACATATATATGTAGTGGAGTTCTCCTAATACAAATCTTCTGTTCAGACTTCTCCCTGAAATATTCGATTCTCCCCAAATTGTTGGGCACTTTCAGTCCTCTCAGACATCTCCATATCTGCTATCGACAATTCTCACCAGCATGAGGAGCATCAGCAGACCATGTGGTGATTTGTTCCATGGTTTCTGCAGGCTGTTCTTGGAAACAAAGTCAGGAGCTGGAGATCCTGTAATCCCGCCAGGGAGGTTTTTGCCAGGCCTCCTGGAGCAGGAGTCAAGCAATTAACCAATGTAGCCTGCCTGTAGTTGGGAAGCGGTGGTGGTGGCGATGGAGGTGGTTGGGGGCATGGTGGAGACAGTACCTTCCAATGGTCGAGTTGGCCTCCCTGTAAATTTCTGCCCCAGTTGTAAATGAAAAACAACATCATTTAAACTCAAATTCCAACATTTTAGATTATTGGTAGAAGCCAAATTATCCAGCACTGTTCACAGGAATGTAGGCATTAGCCTTTAAGCCTACTGTGTCATTCAGTAAGATCATGGCTGATCCAGTCTTGGTCTCACCTCCAATTTCCAGTCTCTCCCTTAGCCCTCGGCTCCCCTGTCTATCAAAAATCTAACTGACTCTATCTTGAGTAAATGTAAAGACTCTGCTTTCACAACTACCTGGGGAAGAGAATTCCATTGATTAATGACCATCTGAGAGGAAATATTTCTATTAATCTTCATCTTAAATACGAAACCTCTTTTTCTTGGCCAGCTCCCCAATAGGATTTATTTTCCCAGTAGTCACACTGCCAGACCATCTTGCATGTTTCAATGTGTTTATCTCTCATTTTTCTAAACTTCAATGGGTAAAAGCCCAGTCTGTCCTACCTTTCCTCATAGGATTACCCCCATATCCCAGGATGAGTCCAGTAAAGCATCACGTTAAGTATTGTACTAAGTGACCTAACAGTAAAATCCAATGCCATACATTCAGGTGATTTTTCTGAAGACGAGGTTTTATTATTTAAAGACATTAAAAATAGCAATAAAAGAATAAAGTGACATTATGACCATGGGTTTACTCTTATATCCATTTCAGAATAATCAGTTTGAAGGAACGGAAGTGTTTTGTATTTCCTTTCATGCTGATTCCATTCCCCTTATGTGGTCATTGCCTTGTCAAGCATGATCCTTTAGAGGGTGAGCAGGTAGCTTTCCCCAGATTGATCTCGGCTATGAAGCAAGCAATATCGTTTCGAACAAAAATAGAAGTTGCTGGAAAAGCTCAGCAGGTCTGGCAGCATCCATGGAAAAAAAATCAGAGTTAACGTTTCGGGTCCAGTGACCCTTCCTCAGAACTGACGGTAGCTGGGAAAATGTCGGTTTATATGCAGAAAATAGAGAGGGGGATGGGGTAGAGGGTAAACGATAGGATAGAGCCCAAAGAGACAGAAGAGCAGTTGGATAGATAAAGGAGTTGCTAACGATATCATTTTGAGACTGGAAATTCTGCAATGAGTAACTCACCTCCTCACCCCCCAACAAAACTAAACACAATCTATCAAGTACAGGTCAACATGGATGAGTACAACTCAACTATTGCAACACCATCCAAGACAAAGCAGCCTGTTCGAGCAAAACCCCATCCACCACCTTCAATATTCACTCCTTCCACCACCGACACACAGTGCTAGCAGTGTGTACCATCTATAAGGTGCATTGCAGCAACCCACCTCTTCTGCGGTACTGTGTCCAGTTCTGGTCGCCCAGTTATAGGAAAGATATTATTAAGCTGGACAGGGTTCAGAAAAGATTTACCAGGATGTTGCTAGGAATAGAGGGCTTGAGTTATAAGGAGAGACTGGATAGGCTGGGACTTTTCCCACTGGAGCGTAGGAGGTTGAGGGGTTACGATATAGAGGTTTATAAAATCATGAGGGGTACAGATAAGGTGAATGGCAGGTGTTTTTTCCCAAAGGTTGAGGATTTCAAGACTGGGGTACATATTTTTAAGCTGAGAAGAAAGATTTAAAAAAGACATGAGGGGCAACTTTTTTTACACAGAGAGTGGTTTGTGTGTGAGTGAACTTCCAAAGGAAGTGGTGGATGTGGGTACAGTTACAATGTTTAAAAAGCATTTGGACAAGTTCATGAATAAGAAACATTTGGAGGGATATGGGCAAATGAAGGCAGCTGGGACTAGTTTAATTTGGGATTATGGTCGGCATGGACTGGTTGGATCAAAGGGTCTGTTTTCGTGCTGTATGGCTGTCTGAATCTATGACTCCATGGTTCCTTTGACAGCACCTAACAAACGTGTAACCTCTACTAGTGAGATCATTAAGGACAGCAGATGCATCACCACCTGCAAGTTCCCCTCCAAGTCACACATCCTGAAATCAGAGGTGAATAGATTCTTCATAAGCAAGGGGTGAAAGGTTATCGAGATTAAGCAGGAAGGTGAAGTAATCAGATTAGCCATGATTTTATTGAATGGTAGGAGCAGACTTGAAGGGCTGACTGGCATACTCCTGCTGCTAATCTGTATTCTTGTAATTAGGGTAGGGCAATAAATTTGGCCTTAACAACAGAGCTTCCATCCCAGGGACAAATAGAAAATAACTCAGGAGTTATTGATGACAAGGTAAATCAAGTATGGCTAAAGGGATAGAAAAGAAACTTCTGGAAAGTATTAGAGAGAGTAACATTAATAGATAAAACAGATATTACATACAAATTCCTTAACCTTTGCTGAGAGCTGACACTTGAGTGCAAGGGGTTGAGTTTTACCTCACAGGGAGAAAGGGGAATCATACTGGGTAACATTTCCCATCTTATCAGCAACCAGCAAGCAGTGCTGGCAATGAACGTGTGTGTGGGATTGCGTCAAGTTCTGTTGAACAGCCTGCTGACACTTTTTGGCAAGTCCCACATGTGAACAGCAGCTCCTTGGGTGAGACATTACAGGGCATCCAGAATGCCTAGAACTTGGGTTGGGACAGGGTATACAGTCAGGCTGGACACAGGGGGCCAAAGGGTGGGTAGTTGTCACTAACTGAAAGCAAAGTGGCTGCAAGCAAGCCACCTTTCAGATCACAGGTGAAACAGTGGATGGTCTTGAACCTGAACAAAATGAATAATGAACAAGTGTCAAAGAAAGATAGTTTACCAAGAAAATTATTTTAACCCCTTTAGTAATTGCAATATTGTTCCAAAGACACTTCTGCACTTGAATCTAACCTTTCATGAGCCAGCTTGCATCCTAAGTTAGAGCAAGTCATTTAGCCTGTGTTTGATGGAGAAAAGACATTAGAACCAAGCCCAATTCTGCCTTTGCCCTGTGTGTACTAGTAACACCATACAGAGGAGTAGACAATCATGCCATGAATGGGCATTGCCCAAGTGAATGATCAGTCACAGAAACACTAGCACATATTATTTTTCTCAATGATGAAGAGGCCAATGAAATGGCTTCATTCGTTCTCTAGTAGGTAACTCATTATAAACTGGATATCAAACATGAGATTTCCCTGTTGTGTACAGCTCTGTGTCAGAACCAAGACAGCTACAGAAAGTTAGAAAGAGCATTGTTATAAGTAGCATTTGGACTACAGGAAGTAAAAGTCATGTAAAAATTCCTAAATGTAATGAATACCTTGAAATAACCATATTAGGGAGAATCACAGTTTATAATTTTGCTAGGATTAAAAGGAAAGCAAAGCAGAAATTGAATGTTGCAATCAAAATTTCTTTGATCATACAAGATTTCAAGTCGATGAGACGAAGGATTTTGACCAATCTCTGGTCTTCCATTGAGAAAAATCCTTGAAGTACCCCACTATAGAGTCCAATTTTATCTTGCATTCTGAAAATGTCAGCTTCACTTCTCCATCCTCGAGTTAATCTCAGAACTATTACAGTGCAGGAGGCCATTCAGCTCATTGTGTTGACACTGGAGTGCACCCCTTATATTGGTGACTCTTTGTACGAAAAAGTTTAATGACATTAGTCCGAGTTGAAGATGAAAATTTCAAAAGTAATCCTTTCATGAGAAGAAGATCCCATTGAGTAGCACTTCTAATGTATTTCTCCAAATAAAATAAAAAGACGGCTAGTAATCCCTTTCAAAGATTGCCTTCTCTCATGACAAACCATGTCTGTGTGATTACCACCAAGATGAAAAATCTAAAGCTACACACAGATGTAATGCATCAGACACGGTGTCCATTAGCCACCAAAGACACAACAGTTTCAGGATATTGTCTATTAATCAGAAGTCATAATATCACAAAATATGGTGATTTAATGAAGGCTGGTGCACCATGGTGTGTTTCCACTAACCCTCAGATTGAAGCATAGATTGTCTACCAAGACTTTGTACAAACTTAATAACTTTGGTCGGGCTCATGACTGAAGCAAATTGCAAATGCCATATGAATGCAAACAGTCTTAAAATGGTATTGTTCAAATTTCCAGACTTAACATTACTGCTATCTTTTGTGGTACACCATTTATTGCAATCTCTCAACTGTTCATCTTTTCTTCTACCACCGTTTTCGATAGTTTCAGCATTGTTAACAGCACAGATCTAACCAAGAACAAGTCCTATGTTCAGTTCTCCAAGCTTCAGTCTTGTGTTTTCCACTTCAGCAGCTTGTAAAGAGCTTCCATTTATTAACTTCAATAGGAAACATGACTAGGGCTAAAAGGATATGAGGTGGTTTCCCTTTGCCTTCCTCCTGTGTTCTTAAACAACCAAAAGTCCACTTCGGGAAGAATCCTCTATCTGTAAGTAGTGCTCTGCCTGAAGGGTCTAACTCCTCTGCCAGCAGCACCAAAAATTCACTGACTCTGCCCTTGACCAAGGCTTACAACCCTGAGCGTAGGACTCTTGCCTTGGATGGTTCATATTTGGGCAGTAACAATCACTCCAAAGTCTTTAAAAGACCACTACCATAACAGTATTCACATTTATTATAAAATGTCATGAGCTTTCCCTTTGTGTGCTATTTATAGTTTGATTATACCATGCGTATATTAAATTCACGAAAAGACTTTGTAACTTATGGAACTCTGTCACTCCTCAGATAAATAAACAGAAAGAAGTACTGACCTTGTCCTTCCAATTATGTGCAAACATCTGTTCCTCAACCTCTGCTGGAGCTGTCTCTCGGAAATCAATGATGAAGCTTTCATTCTTCCTGATATCATGAACTAACATGACACCACCCCTGGAAGAAAGGACAACAAGAAAGGTCATACTGTCAAAGAGTGAGCTATATATATAAACGTGCACACAGATATATATTCTCTATCATTCTCAGCACCCTTTCATCTACTAAAGGTAACGGACATGCAGGACGCAATCCTTTCCAGATGGGTGTCTTCACATGGCACATTTTTTTTGCTGACAGCTGAAGTGGCCAATCTTTAAAAGTCAGGCTTTGCCACATGTTCCACACATGAAGCTACCAGTTGTTGATGCAGGTAGTTCTTTTCGCTGTTGCCAAGCTGGTCACACCTGCCCACAGGAGGCGCTGCCATCTCCCCCAGTCATCAGCTACAGACTCCCACCTGTAAGAATCGACGTTTATGGCCTTAATGTCACGCTTGCCAGCATCGTTTTGGGCTGAGTGACTCCAACTGCCTCACCTTAGAGTAAGCCCTTCCTCCAACCTGCAAACATGCCCCAGATAATGAAGCCACCTCTGTTCAGTGAGTGCTAATAAACTTGGGAACTCTGTCTTTGACAGGACTGGCATGTTTATGATTTTGTCCAAGCAGGAGATACCCAGACAACTAAGACAAAAATTGTTGAGCTTGTTTTCTTGATACTGTAAGTCATCCGTGTTTCATAGACATACGACAAGGTACTGAGAACTCTCAACTTATAAACCATCAGCCCCTAGGTCACTGGTGAATTCATCCCACAACAAACATCTCTGTGCTGCGATTGAGATTTACAAGAATATAGTGTCAATAATGATGCGCCGTTTTGGGCCTGTTAGGATCTGGGCTGATATTTGTTTCGCTTCACAAAAAAAATTACAACTTTCATTTAAATGGCACCCTTATTGGAGAAAACATCCAACTGGGTGGAGAAGGGATGTAAGGACATGTGACCCTTTGTAAAATGGTAACAAGTTTGTAAATAAACATGAATACTTTTCATTAGCGATTCCTTAATACCTACAACACCTACCCTCCAATTCCAGAGCTGTGGGGGTGGACTATTCCTAAGCATAATGCGGACACAATAGCTGCATCCACCGAAGAGCCATCACGATTCAGTATTTCGGTACCAACTGTGGAGCAATGGGCCACATCTGTAACTACTGCACCTTGGTGAAAGATCTACATGGAACAAGAGTGAATGTAGAGTCACAGATGCAAAACGTCCCTTGTTTATGATCGCTGTTCATTACGTTTCTGCAATATTGCCATCACTGCTTCATTCCAAATGGGAATACAGATTAAAAAATCTTGAAAACACCCTATCCACAGGGCTTCCAGTACCCCAGTAAAGATATTGAGGTTTTGTCCGAGTTATGACCTGACTTTATTTCCTGGGGTATTGCTAGCTTAGGGACGTTTCCCCTTTCAGTATGTGCCAGCACTGTGGACCATACCTGACCTGTTCCTTCATTCAGTATAAATAACTTGCACCCTCTTGAGTGCTTAAATACATAAATTTATAACCACAAACAAGCAAGGAACGTTGAGATGCGTCCATCTCACATGGCAATGGATATACTGTTCTAGGGATATGACAGCAGCAAGGACACAGCAAGAGAGTAGATCAGAGGGAAACAACAGAGGCAGCAGAGATTTATGTTGCAGGGAGTGTAGGTGAGGGAGGACTGCACTTCACTTCCTCAGAGTCAGCTCTGGCACTATGGTTGGAGCCTTGCCTCAGAGTCAGAAGGCTTGCGTCCTTCTTTCAGGACATTTGAGCTCACGACTGAGGCTGACATTCCGGTGCAGTATTTAGAGGGGGGCACAGAGGGTGTGGCAAGGTCGGAGGGGCCGACAAATTATTGGAAGACATGTTAAACCAAGGCATGGTCAGCTCCCTCAGATGACCACAAAAGAATCCCCATGGCCCTACTGCAAGGAGAAATAAGTGGTTTCTTCCTGGTGTGCTAACCAATGTTCAATCTTCAACCAGTAAAACAGACAATTTGCTTATTATCAAACTGCAGCTTGTGGGATCTTTCTATGTGCAATTTGGCTGCCTTGTTTTCAACACTATAATCGTGACCACATTTCAAAAGGACTTAACTGGCCTTAAAGTACTCTGGGATGTCCAAAGGTCAGGAAAAGTGCCAACTTAAAGAAAGTCCCTCTCTTTTAGTTTGCAGGGCAGGTAAAACCTTTTGAGTGAACCTTTTCTTAACACAGTGACTGGTAGAACATGTACCTGTGGGTCTCCAAAGTAGATCTGCATAATCAAGGCCACAGTGACTCCAGTCGCAAATGTTAAGCAGGCAGTGATGATAACAGTCAGACCATCCTGGCGACAGGCGCAGTCACCAGAGAAAGGGTCCTTGTTGGTCACACGCAGGGGAGACATCTCCTGACTACCCATCTCAGAGGAGGAGGAGGGTAGGCGTTGAAGGCGAGCTGATTTCAAGAACAGGTCCGGATCTACAAATACAATTATGGAAAGGTTTAGTTTTGGTTTGTCACAATTGGTGATTCTTGGATTTCTACAATGTGCAGCAGGTATGTGCAAGTGAGAGGGCAGAATTCTGTTCTCGTGCTGGGACTCTCGCCAGCTCGCTGCTGCGATGCTGGCTTTGCCTCTTTTCGGGAAGGCCCCTGGACTACAAGATAATCAGGTAGTGGATAGGTCACCAGTGGACTTTACCCCTGAATCAAAGATCCCTGTGGCACAGGTCTTGCCCAATGGGAGCTACTAACCAATCAGAAACTTGTGCAGATCTACTTTGGCCACCATAGGCAGCAATGGCAACTGCCAGAAGCACAGATCGTTGGGAGTCCCAGAATAGGGGAGGGGCCAGGGTTAAGTGGTGTGTGGGTGTGTCTGCGTGTGTTTGTGTGCATGTCTGTGTCTGTGTGTGTGTGTGTGTGTGTGAGCACGTGTGTGTGTGTGCGTGTGCATGTGTGAGGGTGCACACGTGTGTCTGTGCACATGCGTGTGTCTGTGTGCGGGCGTGTGCATATGTATGTGCACATGGGATCAGGTGGAGGGTAAGGAGGTGGGAAATGAGAACAGAGAGTGGTTTTCATTGACCCACCCCTCCTGTACAACCAATCCCTTGATCAGAGATTGAATGCCTTTGTTCAAATCACACCACCCAACACACACCGAAGATTACCAGCTGGTCGCACAGTTTTAAGCCTAAGGCCTAGCAGGAGGGTGGCTTGCAGCTGGGTTAACCTTCGCAGGGTCGGATATTGCCCATAGATGATTATTAATTGGCCAATTAAGGGGCTTAGTTGGCAGTGGGGCAGGAAGGTCAATCATGGGCTGTCCTGTCCAGAACTTCATTCTGGTGGAGATGGAAGGGTTCAAGTACGTCACCTCCCTGCCCAACTAACTGCCCTTGCCACCAGTAAGAGTGAAAGATTCAGCTCAAGGCGTCCATAAGTCTCAGAATTCATGTTTTAATTTAATGCTATAGGCATATTGGTCCCTCTATCTCAGCTCCATATCTTGAGTGTGTCCATCTCAGTATCAAGATTTGCTCTTGGTTCAGAGTAGGTGCAAACATGATGGGCTGAACAGCCTCTACACATGGTTGATTTTGAAATGGCCTAGCAAGTTTAAAGCTGTTCTGTTCAAGTGCCATAAGAGACAAGTCCACATCTTATGAGTGAATGTTTTTAAAAAAGAACCTTTTGTCAGAAGACGGTTTATTTCATGAAGTTTTAGTAGTGTTTAATAATTTGTAAATTATTAATTAATTAAATTATTGAATATCAATTAAATTATGAGTAAACAATTAACCAAATTAATTTGTATTCATTTGTACTTAAAGTAGATTGCTTAGCCCTGTATGTTACACCGATACAGCTTAATATTTTTTAAACATATTTATTGTTTTGATCTCATTAATAACTAGGTCAGTGCCTTTAGTCTTAAGGCTGGGGTTTTTAATGCTCTCTGCATTAAGTGTGGGTGCAGATGACTTGAGGGGTGACTGACTCCTTGTCCTCAACACTAAGATTGATGGATCAAGCAACAATTAGGAACATAAAGTGCTGACCATCAAATCAGGAGTGTTGTCACTGATGTCCTGTGTTCTGCAATCACCCCAACCCCATCCACCTCTGGCTGCTAGCCAATCAGAGGCTGGAAACAGTTCCCAAGACCAGGAGACCTCTGAAGGCCCATGCTGTGAAAACATGAAGGGGTGCAATGATAAGGAGGTGAAGGGGATTAATTTTAGGGGATCTCAGGTGGGGGTTACAAGGAGAAGGGGGGGGAGTTCTGAGGAAAAGAGTAGGAGTTGACTTTCAGCATCCACTGCCCTGATGTGTATCGCTGACCCCAAATGGAGGCCAACACCCCTTCCCCACACACCAATTTCAATACCTGGTCTCCACTTGAGTCACCTGCTAGGAAGACAGATAAATGGGACAACGGCAAGTTGAAGTCTTTTTGGGCTATCAATTGGCCACTTAAGAGCCTTAAATAGCAGTTCAGAAAAGTCAACCATAGCGTTGAGAGTGAACTTAGTGTTACTTTTGTGGATCTCAGTATAAGACTTACCTATTTCACCTTGTCAACTTTGTAATACATGATTAACGCAGTTAGTGCGTTCTAGTGGGTTAATGAGTTTAAGAAGGTGATAATTGTATCAGGAGATAATTAGTCACACTAGACAGAGTTGGGGCCCTTTCGATCAGAGGAGACAAGTTGACACAATTCGCAGAGGCAGGGGTACAACGGTGGGACTCTCGGAACAATCGTGAACAAGAACCCCAGGAACCAAACCCCAAAGAAGAACGCTGACTCACTGACAGAACTGATGAGTCCAAGACTGATCAACTTGGCTAGACACGGGTAACACTGTGTGCAGGTTGTGCATATTATTTGTAACTGGTTTGTTATATGACTTATTAATGAAACATATTGTACTCCCTATTGGTGTCTGTAACAGTTGCTGCTGTTACCCTGTTGGCTTTGGATATTGTCGGCCAGGAGTTGGATCACCAGGGATCTTTCCACCTAGAACTTTCTATCTGAGGTGGCAGGAAGGGGATGGCAATCTCCCCATGACAACCAATAAATTATATACCCTTCCCACCACATTTTCTGCAACTTCTCAGGATGAAAATATCCTGGCAAATGAAACAAGCAGATTGTTGCGAAATTCCAACTGGTCTATTAATCGTCTTTGAAGGAAGGAAAACTACTGTGATTACCTGCTATGACTGATGTGTGACTCAGGTAGCATTGCTGTGAAGCTGCCCTCTGAAATGGTGTAGCGAGCCACACCAAATTTGTAGTAAATTGCTACAAACAATAAACAGTAGAGCACAATAAGTGCAGAGATTCAAGGCGAAGGCTCACCACCACCTTCTCAAAGACAACTAGGCGCCGATAATAAATGGTTTTACAGGACGTTGGTGAGGCCCCTTCCGGAGTACTGTGTCCGGTTCTGGTCGCCCTGTTGTGGGAAGGATATTATTAAGCTGGAGAGGGTTCAGAAAATATTTACCAGGATGTTGCCAGGAATGGACGGTTTGCGTTATAAGGAGAGGCTGGATTGGCTGTGACTTTTTTCACCGGAGCGTAGGAGGTTGAGGGGTGACATTATAGAGATTTTTACAGTCAGGAGGGGCATATGTTGTGGCTGCCCATGCACAAAACGACTGACAGCTGCCCAGGGCTAACGCTGCAGAACATAGCTGACAGTAGTTAGAGCGTGTGGGAAAATATTTGCTTAATATAGTCTCTGCAAGTAGAACAATAATAACTCTGTATAATCAAGATTGCTTAAATGAGATAGATAAGAACAGTTCACACTAATTAGTTCCTTCTCTTGAATTATTTAATCAATCTATCACAACATTTAGAGTAGGTTTTAGTTAAGATCCTTCATATAATCATAGATATAGATTCCAAAATAGTTATAGATCCACTTATATACAAAAAAAATCACCAAAAGCATTAGAGGAAAAGATTCAAACCAGTTTCAGACAGCAAAAGTGCCCCACCCCCTCATCATTACGGGGAGGAATGACAGAGATTAGCAGACATTGGACTGTGGATTGAATAAATACATTAAAACACAACTTGTTAGCTGAAGAATTCTAACATAACTTTGTTGGAACAGATCAAAAAGCAATATTCTTTTGTATTCCCTGTTATGAAAAATGTAAAAGATCCTGAAGTAGTAGGCAAATATCTAATTAACTGGCAGTTAACATGGTGCAGGCAAATGTTAAGATGCGGTACCTGACAGCCAATTACAGAGGGGTAACCTGGCACGGCTGACCAATAGTAATCAAAGGGAAGTGGGTGGGGCATGTGTGCTTTAAAGTGTATAAATTAAGATATTCTGAAACTTTGTGTGTGCCAGTGTGCTGTAAATCATAATAAAGGTTACCTGACTTCCTACCATCGGACTCTCATTGGCAAATATGAGCTCTAACAGTATAGATAAGGTGAATGGCAGGTGTCTTTTCCCCTAGGGTGGGGGGTTTTAAGACTAGGGACCATATGTTTGAGGTGAGAGGAGAAAGATTTAAAAGGGGTGTGACAGGCAACTTTTTTTTTTAAACACAGAGTGGTTCATGTGTGGAATGAACTTCCTGAGGAAGTAAAACAAGGAAACAAAACAGAAGTTGCTGGAAAAGCTCAGCAGGTCTGGCAGCATCTATGAAGGAAAAACAGAGTTAACGTTTCTGGTCTGGTGACCCTTCCTCAGAGCCTGAGGAAGTGGTGGATATGGACACAGTTAAAACATTTAAAAGATGTTTGGGTAAGTTCATGAATAGGAAAGGTTTAGAGGGGTATGGGCCAAGTATAGGCGGGTGGGACTAATTTAGTTTGGGATTATGGTTGGTATGGACTGGTTAGACGAAAGGGTCTGTTTCCATGCTATATGACACTATGCCGATGAATGAATTAAAAGAAAAGCTTGCATTAACGTATTTCTAAAATCTGAAACAAAAGCAGTATACTATAGGAACACAGCAGGCTTGACAGCACCTGTTGAGAAAATAAAGAGTCAAGTGTTGCTTTGTCAGAACTAACAATAGCTGGGAAAGGGTGGTGTTTATGCTGATGACAGGGTGGGGGAAAAGGAGTAAACAGAGTATGCAGAGACTGAGACAACAAGGTGCAGGGCTGGATGAACACAGCAGGCCAAGCAGCATCATAGGAGCAGAGAGGCTGACGTTTCGGGCCTAGACCCTTCATCAGAAAAGGGGGAGGGGAAGGGGGTTCTGAAATAAATAGGGAGAGAGTGGGAGGCGGATAGAAGAGGGATAGAGGAGAGGATAGGTGGAGAGGAAACAAACAGGTCGAAGAGGCGGGGATGGAGCCAGTAAAGGTGAGTGTAGGTAGGGAGTTAGGAAGGGGATAGGTCAGTCCAGGGAGGACGGACAGGTCAAGGGGGCGGGATGAGGTTGGTCGGTAGGAGATGGAGGTGCGGCTTGAGGTGGGAGGA